TTTATGGTGGGTTGAATGCTGTTGTCCCAAAATGAGAATGACATCAGTGGGCGACTAAGCTAGGGCAGAAATCAAAGTCAATATGTTGCTGGAAAATGGGCTTTTGAAATGGTGCTTGAGTGTAAGACTCTGCTCCTGCCAAGCAGCAGTTGCGCTGGAATCGGTGTTCGCATCGGTCCTAGCTCTTCTTGATGAACAGTCTGCAAATTGTCTACCTAATTATACATGCAAGTGTTAGTGTGTGCTTAAAAACTGAATGTTGACATATGGATTCAGGCACTGAAGCACTGTTTCAGCCACGTATCTATTTGTAATTTTTATGCATAATTTGTGTCCAGGGAAATACATATTTCATGCATTTCAGTTGGAAATAAGAGAATAGGAAATAGTTTTTCTGTCCAGTGTACAATGCTACTCCTCTAATAGTTACTCTGTACTTAACTTTGTTTTTTTCTTGTTTTTAAAACTGCTTTCATTGCTGTTGATAAAAACTTCTCCTCCAGGCATGCTCCTTGTCCTTAGCAAGAGACCATGCCGTTGTGAAGCTTTTGTGGAGAGCAAGTCATAAATTGAACTTGATTCTGTGGGAACAGCAGTTAAGCATTTATCCAATTTAATTTGAATAACAAATGTAAAATATGAAAATATTTTCTTACGGCTGCTTAGAAGATATTCCCATTTTCCATTCTCAAATGAGATTCGGCGAAGAGTAAGGACTTGAGAAATAAACCCGACTTTCTCAGATCCTTGGTGATTTTGAGAAAACATGGCCTGAGGGATGAGCACATTTTCCCATAGCGTCGGTCCTGGTAGTATAATTAGCAAATAGTTATTTGCCTGGAACTCGCTTTGCCTCCGGGTTTCTGAAGGCTCAGATGGGTCTCGGGTAGCGGCTCAGAGCGGGGCTGTGGAGCGCGGCGCTGCTCTTCGATGCTTGTGGATGCTCAGCAGATCTGCAAGGAGCTGCTGGAGAGTGGGCGAAGGGAAGGGAAATCACACCTCTGACTGCTCAGGCTTCTTCCACCTAGCTGGTAAGATTAAATATTTAAATACAGGCTTTGATTTGAAGAGCAGAGGTGGAGCTAGAGCACGTGTGGCTCTGTGCCTTGTATTCAAATAGCGATATCTCTCCGTGGTTTTGAACTGGCTGTGTCGAGGGGTTTGGTTCCCCTGTTTCTTACTGAGAATCTGCGATGCAGCTTGGATCAGGCACCGTGACCACGTGTGTGCTGCGTGACCTGTGCAGCACAAAAGTCTGTGAAAATGTATTCTGATTCAGATCTTGAGCTAGGAAAAATACGCAGACCAGAAGTGGTACCAGATTTGTATTTTGCAGCCTGCCTCGTATGTGCATTTTTCTGGAAGCCCCAAAAGAAATCTCCTGCATCCAAGGATATTGGGTGACTGTTGCACTGGGGACAGTGCTCAGAGCTGGCTGCAGATGAGGACCCGTTCTGCCAGGCAGTGTGTGAACACAATATGAAATAAAATAAACCTTCCCCCATTTTTACTTCAATTTCTTCTCAATGTAACCCTCCCTGGGGAGGGATGGTACAGATGCTGCACGCGTTGGTCCTAACATGTCTTCTGCTTTAATGGGGACTGCAGTAGGCAGCTTCTTGAGCAGGCTCTTAGTTGAAGCATTTAGAGCCTTCCTTAGCTTCTCAGTGGTGGTTGTGACTAGATTTTAAATCTTCAGGATGCTCAAGTGACAAGAGAGTTTCGCTGGCTTCTTATTTATAGAGTTCCATATGTGTGAGTGCAGCACTTCCTGCTGCATGCGAGAGGAGCCTTCCTGCCCAGGAGGGACCGTCACCTTTCTTGACCTCTCCTTTCTTTAATAGGAGCTCGTTCCCCTTTTGTGCCCTGGATCGAAACAAAAAGCAGCGTGCTCGCTCTGGCTGGCTGATGAGCTCTCCTGCAGTCTCTGGCAGAACGTCTGGAGTAAATCTACCTGAGTCATGCCTGACAATTACAGCCGTACGGCGCACAACATGCAAATCAGCCTCGTCCTCGCTGCTGCTTTGCCTGTGGGCTGTGCACAAGTGTGATGCTGCCTTTCGACGAGGAGTGCAGAACTGCTCCCATGAGGTGGTTTCCCTACCCTCTTCATTTCAGGCTGCTGCAGCCCCGCTGAGGGTGTAGCTGCCAATACAGGCGTCGCAGCCTTGGCTCCATGGCAGGGCACATCAGCCCCATGGCTGGGACTGGCACCCGCTGAAAACGCTTGCTCGTTGCTGTGAGCTGCCAGCAAAGGTTCTTGGGGAGGTTTGATGGGAAACTGGCCTCTTATTTATTCCTGGACAGGGCTTTTTTTTTAATTTCAGCAGGAGAAAGCCGGAGAGCATAGAACGACTTAATTCTTATCAGTTTGCAAACACCGCGCGATGCAAATGCTTGTTGGAAGGCAGTGAACTTTTCAGCACAGCTGATAACCTCCCGTATTGCTGCCGCTGCCTTAGATGCGCAGTCAGGGCATTTCTGCCCAACTGGATGCCTTCAGCTCTGGTTTTTATACCCAGGAAAGGCTGCAACATTAATCTTAATTAAAAGGGAGATAATGGTTTATTCTGCAGGGCTGACGCACAGTGGGTTTTGCTCTAAACTAGAGCATCGGAGAAGGGTGCTGTAGTTAAACTGCAGCAAAATGAATAACGTGCATTGATACCTAGGGAGAGATTGGGCAAAGAAACAGAGGAGATTTGCAATGCAATGTGCTTCTCCCTCGAAGTGCCTGCAGTTCCACCAGCGCAGCGAGTTCTCTCTTAGTGGCACCGCAGACAAAGCAGTAGTTAAAGCTGTCACCGTTTCCAGAATCCAATTTTTCAAAAGGTTTATAGCTCTGCCATTATAACAAAAAAAAAATCTCTGAAATTGGCTAATCAGCCTTTCCATCTGGGAAAGACAGGAAATACGTGTGCTTCGAAGCTGTCGGTAAAGCTGTACGGATGCTTTACACCAAGTTCATAATACCGTTCGGTGTCAGGTTGAAAGTAGCCTTTGTAGCTTTTTTGTACTCCAATTCTTTCTTCTCAGCAGTGAGCTCATAACTTCTTACCCTTATTTAGCTGTGATTTGCTAAACCGAGGGAGCAGCCTGCGGTTTCACTCTTTCCATCTGTCTTCAACCTTGGTTTCAGTGGAGGTTAGGCTTAGCCTTCTGTAACTCAAGATAGAAATGAAACTTGAGGCTACTTGGAGAACTTCAAAAAGTTGGGGTGAAGAGAAAGTGTTTAAAAATATTTGGGATTAAAGAGATCTGCTCAGAAGTCCACGTTAGATTAATCCCTCCTGCAAAGCCCCTGACTGCAATCATTTTGAAGCGTGAGTGTGAGCGGCTGCCTCACCTCGCTTAGCACAACTATATTTGTCTGCTTTGATTGACAGCGCCGTGCATTTATCTCACAAAATACACAAATGATTCACATTCATCAGCTTGAAGGAGGAAGGTTGAGCTCTGGACATCTGGATTTAGAAGAATGAGCGTCTGTCAGGTGAAATTAAGCATCGAGAACATTTGCGCTGAAGGTAGCGGCGTACCTGCGAATGGCTTTTTCCCTTCTCGCAGGGAGCCTGTCGGATCCACGGGACTCTTGCTGATGCAGTGGGGTGATTTGTTCACCCTAAGCCTCTTCAGCCTCTCGTGCTTTTGTATTTTACCTTGTAGGTTCATCTTCTGGTGCCTTCCAATCCCAAGCCTGTCCTGAGGGTGACAGCCCTCCTGGCTCGCTGCCCCCTTGCACCTCCTCGCCCTCTCCACATGTGAAAAAAACTTCTGGCACTTGCAAAACGTGGCTGAAGGGTGCAGATTTTGTTTCTGGGCCTCAGTGACGTGGTGTTTGCAAATAACTGAATTTGTAATGAGATGTAAAGCCTGGGGCTGCGTCTTCTGGCTTGGGTTGGCTTAGTGCCTTGTTTTTGCAGGCGGCAGTCTGTAATGCCCGGGGTGCAAGGGGACCAGGCTCGCTCTTCTCCCCATCTACCCTGGACACAGATTTCACAGCCCAGTTGGAATGAGACGTGATCAAAATTAGTCCCGTAATTAAGGAAACATTGAACCTCTTGTGTGTGTTAGGCAAATGAACTAAAGCTTTTAGCCAAGCAATTAAGTGTTAAGGTTTTACTGTAAGGTGAATGTAAACTAGATAATTTCTCCAGCTAAGCTTCCCATAATCATTCCATTAGTATGAATTCATTACTGTGCAGAAGGGAGGCAGCGTAGCCTGATGGATAAGATTATTATTATTATTGAAGATTATTGCAGTACAAACGAGCAGTGAGGCCCCAGCTGAGGTTATGGTTGTATTTTGCTAGTTTTACTTTATGGCAGGCTAAAAGACAAATTCTGCTCTGGAGCAGTCACGATTTAAATAGACCAAAGGATGCAACAAAAGAAATGATTTCTTTGCATAGATGCAGATCTGAGACGCGAGAGGGTTTTTGGTGGTGGCTGTTAGCGCCGTGTGCGGACACAATTACTGACAAAGGAAACGAAAACAGAATTTGTCTGCTCTGTGTCAGCCTAGGTTCGTTATTTATCTTCGTGGCTCTCTCTGCTTTCTGTGGAGTATGAAAGTACTTGGCTGGGTTTTCAAAGTATTCAGAGATCGAGGAACAAGAGGGCTTTCGAAGCGGTATTTCGCTGCTTCTCTTGTTACAGTATATTAAATTTACATAGGAATTTTCATTTGATTATCTGACTAAGGAACAGACTTGTAAAGGGGATGACTTCTTAACCGAAAACACATTTATTGATGTTGTGTTTACCTCATCTTTCCACATTGGAATGCTTGCCAGGGGTGGTGTCGGTCCAGTTTCAGTAAATCACGTGTACAGCTTTTTTTTGTTTGTTTTGTTGGTGAAATCAATATAATCGTTTATTTAAGGCAGCACATCTGCAGATTGTGATACAGGTCAAGGCAATTTCAAAAGCAGTCTATGCTTTGTTTCTCAGTATTGGAAGCTGTTACTGATGTTTCTCATGTCGTTTTTTTCCTGTAGGCATTCCTGCCGCCCTTTGGGTATTCATTGAAGGTGTCTCCACTCATCGAAAAAATAAGCGACCACAAGGACTTTAAGAAGCTTCTCAGGACACGAAATAATGTACTAGCTCTGTATTCCAAATCTGGTGAGTTCTCCTGTTCTTCTGGACGTCACAGCTCTTTCAGCCCACCAAGTGTTTGCAAACATCTGTATGCAGGTTAGGACCTGTGTCCTCTGCTCTAGTGCAGAAGCTCCTGATGCTTCAAGGTAGAAGAGGCTTCTTAACTTGGCCTTCTAATTGCCCTGTCACATTGGCAAAAATGTACCTTCTGGCTTTGTCTCCAAAAATGGTGGCTTGTAAAAGCCATCAGTCAGAGCTTTCTGGTGTGTTTATCGCAGCAGTTCGCAAGCTTTGATTTCCTCGTGACACTGAAAGGCTTAATGATAGTTACAGTACTGAAATCAATCCGTCCTTGCTTTTGACAGCTTTGGATGTCCCACGGTTGTCTTTCAACTCTAATGAACAAAATATAAAAATAAAAAATGAGCTGCTTGTGTGAGAGGGAGAGAAATGGCTCATTTCACGTCATGCCACCTGTCCCCTTAAATTTTTTTGCTGCCTTCTCTCTCACTCAGGCTCTCATAGTTGTTCCCTCTTGCTTGTCTGCGTGTGTTTGCTCTTCCTCTTGCTGTGATCTGCTCCTTCTGTACCTTTTCTCATTTGTCACCTTGTTTGTTTTGGTGCTTTCTTTTTTTGTGGCACCACATAAAATGGAGAAGCAGCCTTAAGCTCCATATGCAACTGCAGAATGCTGGTGTGGACGTGGAAATCATTGGCTGGCAGGGAAAAAAAGGCATTACTAAATTCATTTTCTTTAGTACTGTGCAGATACATTGTTATTTTGGTGTTGTTGCTTCCTTTACTTCCCTGCAGGCCAAGTGGTGCAAGATAATGTTTTGCTTGATGGGTTGGGTACTCTCTGCCTTACCTGTTGCAGAGGTTTTATCTCAGAGGCAATGAGCTTAGGGATATGTTTTAGTGGAGGACTGTTAGTGTTAGGTCAGATGTTGGACTCGATGATCTTGAGGTCTCTTCCAACCTAGAAATTCTGTGATTCTGTGACATTGATAGAATTGCTCTGAATTTATCAAATCAGAGCAGTGTGGGGCAGACCCAAGCCTACCCCCCCAATATCAGAGAGCTTCACAGACAAAAATGTGCAGAATTAGCTTTATTTTGTAAATATGGGCTTATACTAAGATAGTTAAAATATCATATATGAAAATTTCTGTTACAAAAATATTTGTGTTTAGTTATAATGGGAAACTTTCAGTACTTGAACGAGCAAATGGTTTTGCAGTATCAGGTTCAAAGTGAATCAGAAAAGAGGTTCTAGTGCTTTTTGACTTTGAATGGAACGCTTTAGATTAAAAAAAGACATCTGTATTACTCAGCTTTTTAAAGGGAAACTTCTTCTTATGCTTAATACTTTAAGTAGTGGTTGCTTTCATTTTTAGTAGCACAACCAGAACACTTTGGCTCTGATACTCATCATATAAATGTTGTCCTTTGGGCATCGTTCTAAAAGTATGTTGTGGAGAATTTTTTTTCTGTTTTTATTATTTAATTGCTTGGTTTTAGCAATCTAAAGCACTGCCTGCAGAGCTGGCTGTGGGATTAATGTTTCTTTCTCACACAGCGATCCTTGCACAATTAGAAAGTTCTTGCATAACTGTCACCCAGTGAAGAAAAAAAGGCAAGGGGAGGAAAAAAAAAGATGAGAATAGAGGTGCAATTCTAATCCCAGTTATACATCCCCTAGCTGTGATGAGAAATTGGCCAACAAGAGATTATACTGCTGAAACAAAGGCTTTGCTTCTCAGCTGAGTGTAACTCGATGAGCGTTCCTGTCCCATGCAGAAAATTCAGTGCTTTCAGGAGATGTCCTTGTTTACAGGGGACGTTCAGTTCATCCTCCCAGCTGGATGTCCTGCCAGGGCTGCACAGCTAGGGAGTGTTGTGGGACAGGTCTGTTTAATTTGCAATCTTTCTTTATTGGAGTTCTTCAATCTGTTCTGCTGTCAGGACACAGGAAGAATTGCCACGCGTGTCTACATCCCTGTGCTGCGGAGAGGTGGTGGTTGAGCATTACCAGCACTGGGGGTAGGAGAGTTTCCTAAGAGCTAACGTGAGTGGGCTGAAGGCTCTGATGGCAGTGACCCAAGAAAAGACTGTTGAATACAAAAAAAGTCCTTTCTGGCTCAGGAGATTGTTGAGATAAAAATTATGGAGGCTTAGAAATGATTTGAGGGGAACTATTACTAGCTGGCTTTCCTCATCTGCTCAAACCATGGGTCTTCATTTTCCCCCCTGTTGCAGACACGTTATTTTTCTACATAGACATTTGATCTGCCCCAATATAGCCATTCCTAAATTCAATTAGGTGAACTGGTTGTGGAGCAGCAGCAGGTAACGTAGTTCCAGGATTTTTTTTCTGTTTTATTGAGGCAGGAAACAGTCTCATATTAGACTTTTGGGGAAACTGATGCTTGTTTGAATCTGTATCTTTCTTTCCTGAGCTCTTGTCCCATTTTTCCTCTCTGTTTATTTTTAATGCCATTTATGGGAGTGTTTTGGAATGGAAATGGTTTGCAAAATCATCACATGTCAGGACATTGTAAAAATCTCAGTTGACTGTTTATTATGCAGCCAGTTTTTGGAAGGGTCTTCTCTGGGTGCTTTCTGCTCTTAGTTTTGAGCTCCTCATGACTGTTGGTTTGGGTGTTTCCGAGGGTTATTGTGAGAATAGCAGCGTGTTGTTGTGTGTGTGTTTCAGGGGTGGAATTGAAGCAGGCAGACACACTGAATGACTTGCCCTTACAGCTGATGAAGGTCCTTAATGAGGTGCTCTAATTAGCAGACAGCGCTAGAAACCAGTTAATGCCCAGCCACAGGAAAATGACAGTGTGGGGATGGGAGCTGATTTGCAGGAGAGGACATGGTACAGCTGCACAAATGTAGGTCAGGGAGTGTATGGAGGTCTGAGCTCCAGCGTGCTGTTTGAGGGGGGTTGTGGAGGGCAGGAGGCACCCAGGTCCAGCTGTAGCCAGCATTCCTTCTAGTTTACAGAAGGTTTTACAGATCCCCTTCTTACTGGTTTCTTCAGATTGGAGATGATGTTATTCCAGTGCTTCAGAACAAAGGAATGCACCGCTGTGGCTTTCTGTGTGCAGTAATAATGCTGTTGGTGATTTATTTTTCTTTTTCCTCCAGCTGCTGCTGCGGAAAGCTCGCTCAGGTTACTGTCCAGCGTGGCCCAGGAGGTGAAAGGACGAGGTACTATAAGCTGGATTGACTGTGGGTATGTGACGTGCTGTTTTTCTTTCTTTTTCCCCTGCCCTCCCATTCTGGCTTTTGTTGCTGACTTCACATTTTCGCCAGCTCTGAAGCTTTTTGCCTGTAACTGAACCCACACTGCTCTGTGCAGCTTGTTCATAACCGCAGGGAGCCCACATCTCACCGCCCTCTGCCTTCCTTCAGGCCGTCGGTGGGGGATCGGTTTTCCCCTATGGCTGTTGTCACTTCTCCTGTGACAGCGTGCCTTCAGCCTGAGGCTGGGGACCCCTTCTGCAGCAGCGCCTTTCATGGGGGGCCTGTGGCGTGGAAACTCTGACTGCTCCAGCGTTCCCACAAGCAGGGCAAGGAATAATCCCACGTCACGCCTCAGCTGGAGGGCAGCGCAGCTCTGCTCTGACAGCAAATGTTGCGTGTGCTGTAGGGCTGCTTGGTTTTGAAGTGTCCACCCATTTCTGTTTCTCACTGCAATGTGTTTTCTCTTAAAGGACTTCCTCTGCGCTTGTAGGGCCGTGACAATGTTTGACGTGAAGGCAGGGAAACTTGTTTTTGTAAGTGGTTGCCTGCATGGGGTGGAACGAAATGAATAGGTGTGCGCTTTCTGGGGTGCAGATCTGAAAGCCTTCCGTGTGGTTCTGCCCCGTAACACGTTGCCTGTGGTTTTAGTTAGTCTGTCTCTGTGCCTCTCTGCCGCTGCAGCTCGAGGGCTGTGCCTGCAGGTGACAAATTCTCTTTCCTGCTCTGCAGAGGAGCAGGTTGCTGCCTACCTGTGCGTTTGGGTGGGTCTCTGTGGTACGAACAAATTGCGCACTGGGCACAGATCTGTCATCTCTGAAAACCGTGTTTTAGAAACCAATTTCCATCCATCCAGTAGTGAACCAGTATAAATCATTGGTAAATCAGAGTGAACGCACTTTTGTGCTCCTGCCTTCTGTGCGCGTCCTGCCAGGCTGGTCCAAGCACACAGACGTTTGCAGCTCTGCCCAACTGGCGGGGAGCGCTCCCAGTCATCAGCTGGCAGAAAGCAGGGGTTGGTGAAGCCTGTCCCAGTTCCCACCTGCTGAAGAGCCAGCAAATAAATTGTGTTGACCCTGAAGAGGGGAAAGTTGTGGGGGGATGTGGCATATCTCTGAAAGCCAGTCTCCTTTTCTAATGAAAGCGCTGATAAACAGCTTTTGGTTGTTAGCGATGAAGGCTAGTGAATAGGGTAATGGGCCAGATCTTGGCTTCAGTCTCTAATCAGCTCTATTTGTGACAGCAGAGTGGTTGCTTTACCTTTGTGTCCCTTATTTCCCTTTGTTTTAGGTTGCCTCTGTGTTGTGGGACTTGCTGCTTGCTCTGTGTGCGTGCGTGCAAGTGGTGTGTGTGTGCAGCTCCTGGGACAAGGAGGCACTTGGCTCTTCAAGATGCTGCTGTAATGCAACTCAGCAATAGCCAGTATCTTGCAATAAATCTCCAGGATTTATTTTAGTTCTGGGTTGGGAAAGGAAGGATTCAGTGTTTAGGATTTGCATTTGAAATCCATGCAGGTATTGGCACTTAATTCAGTGGTTCAGTCTCTGCTCCTGAACTTGTAAATGGTTTTGATGGGGAAGGAAGTGCGGTGTTTTTGCAGTAAAATAAAACTTGAGTTTTTTAAAAAGGAAATTTTTTAAAATAAAACTTGAGATTTTTCTTTAGCTTTTGGAAGGAAGAGATAGTCCTGACAGTCCTTGAGCTCGTCCCGTGGAAGAATGGCAGGTAGCAAAGGAGGTCCTTTTTTATATACACACGCCAAAGAAAAAGCAACAAATGGCTTGAGCCTGAACCAAATTTTTTGGTTGATTTGCTTGTTAGACCTCTAGAGCATTCTGAAATCAGTCTCAGCTTTTTAGTGACTCTTAAACCTTTTTTTCTTGATTTTTTTTTTCCCTTTGATTATGGCTTCTTTTAATACAGGTGGCTGCCTGCATCACCCCAACAATAACAAGAGAGGCTGCAGGAGTGCTGTCTGCCACTCGTCTCAGAGGGACGGGGAGCAGCTGAGCCCTGCCAGAGCTGCCCAAGCCGTTCGCCCAGCACAAGCGTGCCGCGAGGCTTATTTGCAAGTCTTCGTGCCGAAGCAAACTGCACGCAGATGCCGGGATATTTACAGCCCAGTCTCAATTTGTTTTACAAATATTGACAAGGAATGGCTTGTTTGGCAGCGATATTTAGCAGGGAGTTTTGGCTTTGCTCGTCACACCCCGCTGTAGCGCACTTCTTTGCCTTCAGATCTAAGCGCTGGCGAGGTTGGCATCCATGCAGAGTTGTGGTTTGTGTCTCTGCTTCCCTGTGGCGGTGACAGCAGTCTTCTTCTTCTCTTTATTGGCTGTGGGTTTGGTGTTTTTTGTTTTATTTCTTGTAATTCCCTTTCCTCCCTTCATATTTGGGAGAAAGAAAACATATTGCTCCGCTGATGGAAATAGTTGTTCATTGCCACGTCCCAGCAGTGCGGAGCGGGGCGGGCAGGTCTGTGGCTGCTTGCCTGAGCTGCTGCTCATGTGGGAACCACGCTCCCTGTCCTGGGCTTCGGTAGGGTCTGTGGTCTGAGGCAGAGGTTAGGCTCGAGCTTTTGATTCCAGATTGGGCAGTCTCAGGAGGCTGCCACTCAGTTTGTGGCTCTGCAGCAGGATTGCAGAGGTCCATGGAGCATCAGGGCTTATGTGATAGAGGACCGGGATGTGCCAGGTACCTCTCTTCCAGCACAAGGAGGCTTACTTGGCTGAAGTGCCCTGCAGGAGCTGGGCTGTGGGGAGCACAATGCACATGGGGATGCCTCTCTGTGTGGTTTTGCAGCTAAGGACCTTGTGCATGGGCACTTTGAATCGGTTCACAGAGGCAGGCAGGGGCTGCTCGCAGCATTGGAGAAGTCACTTATTGCTCCTGTGTGGCTCTGTACGTAATTAAACATGAAGTTATTTCAATTATGAATAAAAGACCTACAGATGAAGTGACAAAAATGTGTTTTATTCTTGCTTTTCCGTGCTTTAATTAGGAATTCCTTGCTGAGATGTTTGATGTTGAATGAAGGGAGGTGTGAGATGACAGAATAGTGAGTTGTTAATGTCTGCTAAGATACAGTCTCCTGCCTGCTAGCTGCTTTTTGTGGCTGTGGGTTTAAACAGAGCTCTCTGCTACCTTGCATTTGTTTATTTTTTTCCCTGTAATACCTGGTGCTTGCTCCCAAGCTGAGTTTGGGCTAAGCGGTAGCATGGCTAGAGCAGTGGTGCACATTGATAAATCAAATTCAGAGTGTCCCAGAGAGATGGATCAGTCTTGTAAGCAAGTGCCTTGGGACTCGTGCTCAGGGAGACACCTCTTACAGGAGCTGAGAGTCCCAGCTTCTCTTCCTGGCTCTGCCATTGAGTCCTTGCTATTAATCTGTGCCGTTTAAAACAGAAAAAGGTGTATCTGTTTTCCAAGCAGTTGGATAAATATTGCCTGATTCATTAGTTAATATTTATAGGGTTTGGAGAACTTTGAAAGGAAAAATGCTACAGCAGCACAAACGGGCACTGCTCATTTAGCATGTTCAGATGCTGTTGGGTGGGCGTGCAAGCAAGACGGGGACCGGGTTATTTATTGAATTCTGTTTAGTAGCAGGCTGATAGAAGTTCTGAAAATGGAAGGGATTCAGAAGGGAGCTGGAAGCTTAAGATGCCTGCAAAGAGAAGCTGTGCTGTCCTGCTGTGTGATCTCTGCATCCAGCTGCAATGAAATGTGAGTCAGGGTGTGATGGACCTGGTGTGTGCTGCAAGAGCAGGCTGATCCCATACGTGTGGTCCAGAGCCTCTGCATCCTGCAGAGTCCCTCCTGTCCCTGAACCCCATCTTCTGAGCCATATGAGAAGGGGGTAGAACGTAGATGTACTCAGGTGAAAGTTTTGTGTAAAAACAGAAACTTGCTAGCAAATCCTTATGGTGGTGAGTAAAAGGCACAAAGTGACGTGTGTGGGAGCACAGTGAGATGAGCTTAATGCCTGAATGAAAGGCAGTTTTTGTTGCTCGTCTCTAAAGCAGACAAAGACCCAGTCCTGTCTTGTGCTTCCCTGAGGTCTGGTTTTGAAGAGCAATCCATATAAAGTTATCCTCTGCTCCTCTTCAGAAGGTTTTGCAATAGGGGCCATGGGGTGGCCAAGGACTGAAGTTATCTGGAAGAGCGTAAATAGCATGTGGGAGAGGAAGGAAAGTAAAACGGCTGTGTTGAAGAGAGGAAAATGTTTGCCAGGTTTATAAAATGTATTATGGTCAGGTGCAGCTTTGAGGAGGTAGCAGAAGAGGCTGAAATTAGTGCTTTCTGTCCAGAGCATAATTGCTCTTACTGTAAAATCCTGCCGTAGGCAGAAGTGGGGAACGTGTGAGGCTACTGATGGGTAGCCCTGAACCAGGGGGATGCTGGCGTTTCCTCAAATAGAGGAGAGCCGTGTCTTGGACTCCTGGTTCTTCTAGCATGGTTGCTTACCAAAAATCAAATACCTGAGTAAAGTGTCTGCTTGCTGCCCTGTGGAACTGCAGACCAGGCACACGGTGCATACAGGTGGTGCTCCTTGTGTGTTTGATTTTTTTTAGCATAACTCCTACCCAGTTGTGTAGACGGGTATTTTGAAAAAAGCACCCATTTTCTTTGGCTCTGGGTAAATATTCCCTGCTCAAGCTCGCATGGTTCCCTTTGCTGTAGGTCCCAAACATAAACAAAGCTGTGTGGTTCCCATCTGCTGTCATAGCGCATGTGCTTGGCTTTAGCACATCAGACTGCTAGGGAGAGGAAGAGCCATATGGCTAAAATGTCTGGCTAATTTTTGGTTGGTTTTAATCCCGCTTTTCCCTCTTTGGTGTCCTATGTGTCATTCCCGTAGTCCCTTGCCCTGAAAGCTTTTTTTTAAGTGTTGCAGTCCTGTGACACTTAGCATAGGGGTGAGGTGTTTTCCTCAGCATCCCACCCCAATCTGACTGGTGAAGTGGCCCCTTGGAGGCTATGTATTTAAAC